GCAATAGCAAGATTCATAGCAAGACTCATAGCAATAGCAAGATTCATAGCAATAGCAATAGCAATAGCAATAGCAAGATTCATAGCAATAGCAATAGCAAGATTCATAGCAATAGCAATAGCAATAGCGATAGAGGCAGCAATAGCAATAGCAATAATGGTAAAATAGTAGCAATAGCAGGAAAGGCAATAAATAGCTGCTGCTGCCACTCCTGATATTGCTACAATTGCTATTGCTACAATTGCTATTGCTACAATTGCTATCGCTACTATTGCTATTGCTACCGCTGCTAATGCTACTGATTCTTGTCTTGTGCTGGTCGTACTGCCACTGCTATTTTAACTACCGTCTCCTCCCCGCCCCCAAGACAACGCACCCTCTACATGACTGCATTCTACCAGAAAAATAGAACACATTCATGATGAGCGTGCGTTGTATAATCTAATAAAAACGGTAGTTCTTCAGGTGCCTGAACTACTGTCTTCCCCCGAACACAATGCACCCTCATTTTGTCTGTGCCTTGCCGTAAATATAGCTTGTATTCATTCATTTTTTAGGGTGCGTTATGTTCGGGGGAAGACGGTAGCATCGCCAAAACGCACACGTGGCATGACATATAATATATATATACAGCCCCTCGTTTGTTGTCCTCTTCTCTCTCTCTGCCAACGGTTTACCGGGCAGTTCTGTTTGTGACGATATATACATATACGAGTCGATATGACGATATACATAATACATATAACGTAATAAATATATATGTATATGGACGATCCGTTTGACGATACATATATATACATAACCACATCCACGTGGGCAGCCTTGTACGCAAGAGGTTCTGAACAGGGGGAGTTGTAAGTAAGAAGATAAAAAAAAAACGAATTGATTTCTTTTCATGTTTTCCTTTTGTTTCTTTCACTTTTGCGATCTGATATCTTTGTGACGATATACGACGATATATATATAGTCACAAAGTTATCAGAGCGCAAAAGCGAAAAAAAACAAAAAAAGGAAACAAAAAAGATATCAATTCATTTTTTATCTTCTTACTTACAAAAAACTCCCCCTGTTCAGAACCTCTTGCGTACAAGGCCGCCCACGTGGATGTAGGTTGAGCAGCGGCTGCCCCCACCCCCGTGTGTCATATCGACCCAC